TGGATTATGAAAAGATACAGAGGCATCAGAGCCTATGTTTCCTATCTTGAAATTACATCCTTAGAGTCTTACAAAACAGAAGCTGACATTGGCCATATTTCAAATGGCTGAAAGCCAGCAACTTTATAATGTGAGTCTTTTTTTTTTTTCTTTTTAAAGTATTCTCTGCCAACAACAAGGGTTTGCCAGGGATGCCAAGAAGACTGGCTGAAAAGCAACAAAATAAATCAACCACAGGTTGATCACGGTGGCTCACACCTGTAATTCCAGCACTTTGGGAGGCCAAGGTAGGCGGATCACTTGAGGTCAGGAGTTCGAGACCAGCCTGGCCAACATGGTGAAATCCTGTCACTACTAAAAACATAAAAAAATTAGCCAGGCATGGTGGTGGGTGCCTGTAATCCCAGCTACTCAGGAGGCTGGGGCAGGAGAATTGCTTGAATCAGGGAGGCAGAGGTTGCAGAGAACTGAGATCATGCCACTATACTCCAGCCTGGATGGCAGAGCGAGACTCAGTCTCCAGAAAAAACAAAAAAGTCAAATAAATCAACCACATATTTAAGTATTTTCATGCCATCAGAAATAAATCCCTTTTTGATTATATCAACAACAAATACAAATATGGTAGCCAACCTCTCTCGTAAGCATGTTAGGTATGAAGATCAGCTTGATACATAAGAATTTTGAGTTTCTCAAGGGCATGTCTTCTCTTTCTTCCTTGTGTGTGTGTGTGTATATATATGTGTGTGTGTGTGTATAGGTGGCTTCTTGTTTTTGCTGTTTTTATATGGGTTCTCCTTAGAATAATAAATGTTACTAGTTCACTGGAATTGACTCCACAGTCAGCAAAGCCTCCAGATAAATCTTAAGTTTCAAGGTCTTTGAAAGTGGAAATGTCATCCGCCACTATAAGCACACCCAGGGTTGTTGCATTCATACTAAAATGGGCAATCAGCAGGGAATAAGAAAGATAACGGCTCTTACACCTCTCATGGGGCATACATTATAGCACTGCACAGAACCCCACAATGTAGGTGGTGGGCAAAGGTCAGCAGAGGCAACAGGACATTTCCGGTAATATTTCAGGCCCCCAGTGGATCCTTCTCTATATGGATTCTTCTTCAAGGCCCTTCTCTGACCTCTCTTCCTTCCCTCTGCTCTGCTGGTCTCCCTTCTCCCAGCCATCCCTTCCCCGCAGAAAACCACATACCTGATCCTCTCTCCCCTTTTCCTGACTGCATAAGCCTCAGAACCCTTATTCACACTAAGAGTTAAGCGAATGACCACAAATCCCAGAGTCCCTCCTCTCCTTCTACCCCACAACCAGGAGATGATCACTGTACCAAAGGAGGGAGAAAGGAAGGAAAGAAATAGACGTTTATTAAAGACACACCGTGCACCCAACACAATTCTAGACATCCCTAATACACATCTTCTCAATTGTCACAACAAACATTAGAAGTAGATAGTTCTTTCCATTTTATAATAAGAACATAGTTTGACAGATGTTAATGCCATTGGCCAAGGTCACAGGCACAAAATGACAGAGCTTCAATCTGTCTGATTTCACTACATTCTGCTGCCTCCAGGGATCAAGGCCAAAAACGAAATGGACTTCCAGCCTTTCATTTTTTCAGCCAAAGCTCAAAGGCTGAAGAGGACTTGAGCCTCCTAAAGGCATTCCCGCTCCCTGGCCCTTTGTCCCAAAGAAGTATTTTGTGGAAGATTTAATTCGGCACAAGAGGCAGGGGTTCCCTTTCTGGTGCCTCGAACCAAAAGTCTCCAATTTTCCAGGCAGCACTCAGCCCTCCTGCTCTCCGTAAAGAATTTACTCTTCCCTGCCCACTGGTGCATGCTGATTCTGGCACTCCCTTCTCCTCTCCCTCTTCGAGATAAAACTACCAAAATGTCCCTCTTGAAGCACCACTGTGAGCATGACACAAACGTGACACTTTCCAAGGTCCTATTTCTTTTTTTTTTTTTTTTTGAGACAGAGTCTCTGTCACCCAGGTTGGAGAGCAGTGGTGTGATCAGCTCACTGTAACCTCTGCCTCCCAGGTTCAAGCGATTCTCCTGCCTCAGCCTCCTGAGTAGCTGGGATTACAGGCATGCACCACCACACCTGGCTAATTTTTGTATTTTCAGCAGAGACGGGGTTTCACCATGTTAGCCAGGCTGGTCTCGACTCCTGACCTCAGGTGATCCGCCCGCCTCAACCTCCCAAAGCGCTGGGATTACAGGCGTGAGCCACCACACCCGGCCCCAAGGTCCCTATTTCTAAAAATCTTGTCAGGTCTTAACCTCTTCCCTGCCTAGGGCCACCCCACCCACACATGAAACGTCATCTTCCCTGACCATCAAAGCTCACACCCCTAGTACCCTCAAGCTAGTCTCTTTCATGCTCTTCAGCCACCCCCCTTCCCACATGGCTATCTCCCCTCCTCTCTCCCTCCATCTGTCCAACCCAAATGACTCTTCAAGGATCCACTAAAGTCTTCATCCCTCCAACATCTCCTAAACGCTTCTTCCTCTCTCTCAACTGTCACCTACAAGTCTGCACTGTGTTATGTTCTGCTTTCTTCTGGCTGTGGGTTCACTATGTTTACTTAATCCCTCTGGCTGCTCTAAGACAGAAGCCAACTTGGGCCTCTCTACTCTGTGCAGGTGATAAGTGAGCACCCTGACCACAGTGAACCCATAGCCGGAAGAATGCAGCAATCAGACAGTGCAGACTTGTGGGTGACAGCTGAGAGAGAGGAAGACATTTTTGGGGGGATCATGGAAGGATGAAGACTTTAGTGGATCCTCGAAGAGTCATTCGGGTTGGAGAGATGGAAGGAGAGGAGGGGAGATACCCATGGGGGAAGGGGGGTGGCTAAAAAGCATTAAGGAGACTAGCTGGAGGGGACTAGGGGTGTGAGCCTTGATGGTCACGGAAGACCATGAAAGACCTCAGCAGACTTGTAACCAGACCAGTTGACTGAGCCCCTGTGATACTCACGGCAGTGTATTTTCTGCAGAGAGAGGTACTTCTCCAGGTTCCTTCTGAGCTTCATTTCATTTCCATACTTGCCCACAGTCCCATCATCAGACAGGATGAAGTGCGAGTGCATGCTGTTGAGTGTTGTGAGCTTGCTGAGGGGGTTACCCAGAGTCTGGTACAGGCACACCACCTGAGAGACAGCAAGGACAAGGAGGGTCAGAGCTCTAGATCCCTCCCCAGGCTCACCTGCTCCAAAGGCCTATCTTTATGTGCTAACAGAGTTCCCACCTAGTTCAAAAAGCATTATTTGTGGCCAGGCAGGTGGCTCACGCCTGTAATCCCAGCACTTTGGGAAGCCGAGGTGGGAAGATCACAAGGTCAGGAGATCGAGACCATCCTGGCTAACATGGTGAAACCCTGTCTCTACCAAATATACAAAAAATTGGCTGGGCATGGTGGCGGGCGCCTGTAGTCCCAAGCTACTTGGGGGGCTGAAGCAGGAGAATTGCTTGAACCCCAGGAGGCGGAAGTTGCCATGAGCCAAGATCGCGCCATTGCACTCCAGCCTGAGCAACAGAGCGAGGCTCCATCTCAAAAAGAAAAAAGAAAAAAAGTATTACTTGCAATTTAGAGCAGTGCTTCTCAAACTATCTGTGGTATCAATTTTTTAAACTTCCCATGTTTTAATGGACCAATATGTGATCCTACTATGAATAACTAGTAGATAGCTTGTGATACATGAGAGTCACAACACAAGTTCAACAATATTGAAACATACCCTGTTCAGCAAGATTAGCCTGCTTTGCAGGTACTTGAATGACCACAGCATGGTCACACTGTTGACAGTTGTTCTAAATATTTTTTTCTTTTTTATTTATTTATATTTTTTTGAGGCAGAGTCTTGCTCTGTCACCCAGGCTGGATTGCAGTGGTGTGATCTTGGCTCACTGCAACCTCTGCCTCTTGGGTTCAAGCGATTCTCCTGTCACAGCCTCCCAAGTAGCACATGCACACCTCCATGCCTGGCTAATTTTTGTATTTTTAGTGGAGACAGGGTTTCACTCCTGGTCTTCTTTTCCATTTCTGTGCTTACCTTGTTTCAACCCATTAAAAAACAGTTCAAGAACTGGCACCAGTACATAGACCACATCATTATTCGAAACTACTGTCTTTTAATAGATTTATTCCAGAATAATATTTTGACACTGACTTTTCTCTAGTATTCCAA